GCCCATTTCCGCCACCCTGATAAAAAAAATAAATAAAACTTGTATCTCATAATTATGACTTAGCTATCTCATAATTATAGCTAAGTCATAATTAAGCATAATTATAGCTAAGTCATAATTAAGCATGATTATAGCTAAGTCATAGCTAAGTCATATTATTATGAGATACTATCTCATAATTATGAAGTAGTATCTCATAATAATGAGACAGCTAAGTCATAATTATGAGATACAAGTTTTATTTTTTTATCAGGGTGGCGGAAATGGGCTTCCATACATTTGAACAAAAAAAAGGCTGTAGTGAGCGAGTACAACCAGCAGGTGGCGCTGATGCAGATCAATGAACGTCGGAACAAAACACCCACGAAGAAGAAGTGTTTTGGCGGAAGTGCCTTCCATTAGCATTAAGCTAACGATGGACAACACGTAAATGAATCATGACGCATTCACACAATGGATACACGGTGATGAGTCGTAGCGGGCTGTTTTTGTTGTAAAGAAACCGTTTGTTTGTTTATTTATTTTTATTTTACCGTAATGGCGAGCGGCGGAGGCGGCGGACTGGCTTCAAACCAGAGCAGCCAGCAGCAGCAGCAGCAGGACGCGGCGGACTGTGGCGGCGCCGCGGCGGTGTCCAACAACATGCAGCCCGCCTCCGCGCCTCCCGCACCGTCCGCCTCCCCGCCGGACCTCGGCCTCCACCGGGAGCCCGTGTACAACTGGCAGGCGACGAAGAGCTCCCTGAAGGAGCGCTTCGCCTTCCTGTTCAACAACGAGCTGCTCAGCGACGTCCGCTTCGTGGTGGGGAAAGGCCGGCAGGCCCAGAGGATACCGGCTCACAAGTTCGTGCTGGCCGCGGGCAGCGCCGTCTTCGACGCCATGTTCAACGGAGGAATGGCCACCACCTCTGCGGAAATAGAGCTTCCGGATGTGGAGCCGGCAGCCTTCCTGGCCCTGCTCAGGTAGSACGGTTCTGTTACAGGTAGCATTTCACCGGGCTGTGGCCGGAGAACCGGGTCACATTTTTAGCTAAAATCTCAACTTATGGGTCATTAGATGCATCTGTTTTTATTTGGATTAAAGGACAAGACTTGAGAAGTTTCCCATCAGTAGATTTTAGATTTAATTTAATAAGACTTAACARTAAATATAGATGCGCATGCGCGAAGCATCCAGGTCACAGGTCAACAACGAACACATTAACCGGTTAATTTACGCCGGTATACAAACTTAATGCTTTCCTTCTGAACTGCTTTGTGTTAAACATTTATTTAAGTTCATAAATGAGTTTTTAAATAAACATCTTTAAGCTACAGATCTGCTGAACTGAACCAATAAACTGATCAAACGTCGTATCAATGCTGGTTTGTTTATTAACCTTTGACCCCTGCCCACAATGCAGTGCGAACAGAATAATAAATGTTCTATTAGAGCTGGTATTATCAAAAAAATCATAATTCAGTTTATTTTCCATTTACTATTGCTTTAATCAGGAATGGATAACAATGATGGAAGCAAAGTGTTTTTGTTGACACTATCAGAGGGCCACATAGTGCTACACACTTACACAAATATAATAAAAACTAACATTTAAAATGTATTATATATTCACAGTATCCATATAGCTGACCAGTCCACGCCTCCTGACGCTCAGGAGTAGAAAAGAGACATGAAGAAATTAATGAAAATTTAAATGCATCATGTGATTCATTAATTTGTTGCTCGTCACAACAGGCCTGCAGTCTTCTTACACAGCCCTGGTAACAGAGTTGTGTYGTCCCTTTAGGTTCCTGTACTCTGACGAGGTCCACATCGGACCAGAGACGGTGATGACCACTCTGTACACGGCAAAAAAATACGCCGTTCCTGCTCTGGAGGGTCGCTGTGTGGACTTCCTGACCAAACACCTGCGAGCGGACAACGCCTTCATGCTTCTCACTCAGGTAGTTGTCGGCTCCGTCAGCTGGACGACACCCAGCTGGAGGTGAAGATGATGAGTTCACGTTTTTCTGTCCAGGCCCGGTTGTTCGACGAGCCTCAGCTCGCCAGCCTGTGTTTGGACACCATCGATAAAAGCACCGCAGACGCCATCAACGCCGAGGGCTTCACTGACATCGACCTGGGTACGAGCCGCCACTTCCTGTTTACCTGCTGTTCAACTCTGCAAACAGCTGGCACTTCCTGTTTGCGTGTTGATTTGTGTGTGTGTTGTTGGTTGGTTGGTTTGTTTGTTGATTGGTTTGTTTGTTTGTGTGTTGGTTGGTTTGTGTGTGTGTTTGATTGGTTTGTTTGTTTGTGTGTTGGTTGGTTGTTTGGTTGGTTTGTGTGTGTGTTGATTGGTTGGTTTGTGTGTGTGTTGATTGGTTTGTTTGTTTGTGTGTTGGTTGGTTGGTTGTTTGTTTGGTTTGTGTTTGTGTGTGTGTGTGTGTGTGTTGGTTGGTTGGTTGGTTGGTTGGTTGGTTGGTTGGTTGGTTGGTTTGTGTGTGTCGATTGGTTTGTTTGTGTGTTTGTTGGTTGGTTTGTTTGTGTGTTTGTTGATTGGGTTTTTTTGTGTGTTGGTTGGTTTGTTTGTTTGTGTGTTGGTTGGTTTGTTTGTTTGTGTGTTGGTTGGTTGGTTGGTTGGTTGGTTGGTTTGTGTGTGTGTTGATTGGTTTGTTTGTGTGTTTGTTGATTGGTTTGTTTGTGTGTTTGTTGATTGGTTTGTGTGTTTGTTGCTTGGTTTGTTTGTTGGTCGCTTTGTTTGTGTGTTTGTTGGTTGGTTTGTTTTTGTATTTGCTGGTTGGTTTGTGTGTTGGTTTATTTGTTGGTTTGTTTGTTTGTGTGTTTGTTGGTTGGTTTGTTTTGTTTAACTGTGTGTTTAATTGTGTGTCTCTCCTCAGACACTCTGTGTGTGTGTCTAACTGTGTGTGTTTAATTGTGTGTCTCTCCTCAGACACTCTGTGTGTGTGTTTAACTGTGTGTGTTTAATTGTGTGTCTCTCCTCAGACACTCTGTGTGTTTAACTGTGTGTTTAATTGTGTGTTTAACTGTGTGTTTAATTGTGTGTCTCTCCTCAGACACTCTGTGTGTGTGTTTAACTGTGTGTTTAATTGTGTGTCTCTCCTCAGACACTCTGTTTGTGTGTTTAACTGTGTGTTTAATTGTGTGTCTCTCCTCAGACACTCTGTGTGTGTGTTTAACTGTGTGTCTCTCCTCAGACACTCTGTGTGTGGTCCTGCAGAGGGACACTCTCAGCATCAGGGAGAACCGTCTGTTTGAGGCTGTGGTGCGCTGGGCCGAGGCAGAGTGCTACAGACAGCAGCTGCCCCCCACAGCCGACAACAAGCAGAAGCTGCTGGGGAAAGCCCTCCCCCTCATCCGCTTCCCCCTCATGACCGTGGAGGAGTTCGCAGCAGGTAAGTGCCCCGCCGGAGCAGGCGTCTGGTGTTCATGACGTTTTTTATTTAACTGATTTAATTTCTCGTTCCTGGTGTGTCCATACAAGTGCGAGCGCAGAAACCAGTGTGACATTCTTTCTTGTGCAACAGGGCCCGCCCAGTCTGGGATTTTGTTCGATCGGGAGGTGGTAAATCTGTTTTTACACTTTACAGTAAACCCCAAACCACGGGTCGACTACATCGACAGGCCTCGCTGCTGCCTCAGGGGGGAGGAGTGCAGCATTAATAGGTTCCAGCAGGTTGAGAGTCGATGGGGGTACAGCGGAACCAGCGACAGGATCAGGTGAGGTCCGGGTGGCGTTAGCCCCGATGCTATCACCGTGTATATGTATTAGCTCAGCGCTACACAGTCTCCTCTCGTCACTGAGGTCCTCCATCCACATG